GGGATTTTAAGGAAAGACCACAGAGACAGTGTGTTCATATTTGAACTCGTGATCTATTGAGGAGGTGGGAACCTTTCTCATATCCTTGTCCCAGCAGTCAAACTGCAGGCCCTGTCTCTCATCCTGCTGAATCCACCTCCACAGCTGGCAGACCTTATGTCTTCACCTTGTTTGCAATGAAAACTCAACAGTTCTCTCACTTTCAGTCCAGCCTTAAGGATTCAGAGTGCTATTGCTCCATTATATACATGCCCAGCACATCTGGCTGGGTTTGGTACCTGCTGTATTTCCCTCAGGGCATGAATGATCTGCACATCACACTGAGCTAGAAGGGTCCTTTCCTAACAGAAATGGCAGTACTAAGACATAAGAATAAAGTGCCATAAATGCAGAATAATTTAATGTAAGGCTATACGTGCACCCTTCTTGCTGGACTTAACATTGTCCTCTGCGGAAGGCTCATCCTCCTCCTCCTCTTCCCCAGCTCTGTTGAGAGTAACATGCATCAGCCTCCAGGGAAGAGCTCTGAGCAATGGGGTCAGGAGTACAAGTCAAGTCTTCCTGCACAGCTGTGTGCTCTGGGGCTGAGCTGCTTGCTCAGCTGTGCCTCACCAAGCAGCTCGTGGGTGATCAGCAGAACCTGCCGAACACCTGCAACACTCTGATGGTCACACCGCCCTGCCAAGGGAATAGCACAAGAGACATGGGAATGGTGGTGGCTTTGCTGCTGACATGAAGATTATTTAAATATTCCTGATGGATTCCTCTTGCATGTGGTGGGTCTGCTCTTTTTGGGCTTGGTTTTTAAACCTTTTTTTTTTTCAGAGAGCCTCCATATGACTCCATAGGCTCAGTGGTGAAGGCAAGAGATCCCAGAGGTCCCAGCCCCAACTCGCACCCCAGGGAGCAGCCTGCCACAGTTGATGAACTGGAACTGCTTCTCGCAGATGTGGAGATGAAACTGAGCACTGGAAGTGCTGGTGTCTCCTGCACTTATTCAGTCTCGAGATATGATCAAGCCTGCAGCTTATGTTGCTAAGTAGCTGCCACCATAACAAATCCTTGTGCGCCTTTTCCAGCTCATTGCTGCCCCCCTCAGCATCAGCGGAACTGGGTACAAGTTTGCATTCATGTAATTACAAAATGCAAAATGGTACCATTTTCAGGGTCTCTCATTAGTTACTTGACCAGAGAAACATTCCTAAGCATCCAATTTGGCTTTGAAATCCAAATGCTAAGCTGATTCTCCTTCTATTTTTTCTTATAACATTGACTGTGGTTTCTTATTCCTTAAACATCAGCATTTCTTTTGTTTTGGAGATTAGTCCCATAGTCAAGAAATATGAGAAGCAGCTTAATTTGTACAAAGACAAATTTAGCTGAACTTTTCTGCAGAAATGCTCAGCAGTGGAACGTTTTAGGTAATGTGATCCCTTCATTTCGGAGCTCACAGTCCAGTGCGATGTGTGGTACATGCTGCCGGTGAATGGACTGCGATTCTGGCTTCCTCTCCAGGAACCTGAGGTCTGGACATATTAACTTGCACAAAATGAACAGAAAATTAGTGCAGACACATCTGCTGGCAGAGGCTGGGCTTGGGCTCTGCCATAGAAATACCTGATTTCAGGGAGAACTTCCAACATCTGCCTTGGAAAAACAGAATATTAATAAGTGGTGTGCAAGCTGATGATGAACAGGCCAGTACACAGTTTTAGCCAGGGCCGGGACTCCTGAATTCAAACTGCAACTTTGTGAGTAGTTTTCTTAAACTGATTTAACACACATGCAAAGTTGGCACAGCCATATAAAAAAGAAATCCTTACTCCTTCCCTTCTCTATTCTCCTGCCTGGTGCTTCTTGTGTTATGTTGGCACAAGTTTCTGTGTGGCTGCCCAGCGCACAGGATGTAGAAACTGATCCAGGTGGGGAAAAAAAACCCCTGTGTTTCTTTTGGTGAGTTTTACCCTGAATCAGTTCCCAATATCCCCACACCTAGAAAACTAAATTGTACACATAATTGCCAGCACTACCTGGGCACTGCAAGGCAGGGAAGGAGAAAGTGTTTCAAGAATGCAGCAGAACAGTTTAATTTAGAGAGGAGTTCCTGCATGGAGAACACCACTAACTTTAAATCCCCATCTGCTCCAGAAGGATGCCAAATGTCATGAGCAACTCTCTGTTTCTCATCACATGTCTTCTTGATCACTGTCAAACATTTATAAACATCCATGATTAAAGGTCAACCACACATCCTCAATTATTTTGTGTTAGTTTCAGGCAATGTTATGATCTTTAATGTTTTTATTGAAAACAAAAATTAGGCAAACAAGAAAAGCAGGGGGGCTGGGGAAAATAGAACATGGAGAGACCCAGCTCATGACAACCAAACTACCTCTTGCATCTTTCCTGGCTGCTGGGGAATCTCTAGGGCCAAATGAAATTGGAGGGTGTGTTCTCCCAGAAAGTTTCTGGCACCTTATTCTACTCAGAACACTAAAATTAGTATTTGGCTAATACATTTTCTCCTACCTGAGATTTTGGATTTTTTTTTTTTATTCTGCATGAAGATGTTTTAAGCTAAAACAAATATAAAACCAGGTCCTGTTATAAGAACTACAGAAAATCTTCCCTTCTACCTCCTGTTCTTGTGTCTCCTACAGCTTTACTTGACCTTTAGAGGCCAGCAAGAAATGCAGAGAACTGTCCTTTTTTCCTTGTGTGTCGGGACAATTTATTTCTTGGTAGTTCAGCTTTTCTATATGCTCATGTTGCAGAAATTCACAGTATATTCACGCCAGACGCTTCTTGGAGGTGAAACAGAAAAAGGTCTGAAAAAGCACAAAGATAAACACAACCACTTGAGCAAAGATGTACAATCTATGGACCCTTAAGAGATTTAGAAACAGAAAAATTTACCTTAATCCCACTACTCCTAAAAAATATTATGTACCATGACACAGACTCAGGTGTGTACCAGTGGAACAACAACAGGGAGAAAAAAAAAACCGTGGAAATTTGACTTCTTTGATTTGCCACAGTAGGATGTCGGCTGGAAACACCCAAGCAGAAAAGGCAATTTTGTGCCCACAGAAGATGGGCACAGATCAGCATCTTCAGCATCATATACCTGACCCTCCAACAAAGTCCCTGAAGCAAAATTGCACACAACAGCTGCTAGTTCATTGCTTAATAAGCTGGTTTAAATCATATCTTGTGAATTAGGAAGAATCCTCTACGCATGCTCTTCCCAGAGAGAGAGCACTATTTAACCTCCAGCTGTAGATAGCATCACCTGCCTTCTTCCCTTCCACCCCAGCTGGAATAAAAAGCAGCGTGGCTTCAAGGTGATCACACACATAGGGCAGGAATTCATTCAATGGCTCCATCTCCTCGAAGAAATACTTATTTAGAATCCTCAACTATTCTTTTTTACACACCAAGGAGGAGTAATTTGGAAAGCAGGGCATCATAGTACCCCTACTGTGAGCAGTTAAGCTTTGCAGACAGAACAAAACTGCCACTAATGGGAGGATGGAGCACAGAGCAGCATTCCCAGCAGTTCCTTCTCCTCACTGCTGCAGTGCAGCACTACAGCCAAAGGCACTAGAGCCAGTCCAGCCTGGCTGGGAAGCAGTGAGGAGCACATTCTACAGCTCTCCATCAAATCTAAATCCCTCCCAAGACAGCGTTCTGAAAAGAGATGTTACTCACTGAGCTGCGACAAAAATGTCTCCTATCTAGTAAACACTAAGTGAATGCTTATGGTAATTTCTTTAAAACCATTTCAACATTTGTTTGAGGAAGAACTAGAATAAAATGCAGATGCTGTCCTTCTTTACCAAGATATTGAAGCACATTAAAAAAAAAAAAAAACAGCAGCAGCCATAGGGAAAACAATGAACACTGTGCAACAGAGAGCCCTTCTCCATCTCATCATCCACACCAACGCTCCATCACCATTCCTTAGACCTCATCCAACAGCTGATCAGCGCATTACCACAAAGCCCCCTTCCCAAGAAATGCAAGCCTCTTGGTACTACTGGTACCATGGTCAGAACAGTAACAAATCCTGTACAGGATAAAGAAGAGCTTGCATTCAGTGTCCCAGATTAGTGTCACCAGGCATACGTTGGAGCAAAATCAATTTATCATTACTGTTGATCACAGTGGTGTAACAAAGAGCAAACTGGTGATAAAACTGTACTAGACTATTGATATAACCTATTGATAAAGAAAAGCCAAAAGAGCTTTCATCCTAGTCTGAGTGCCCAAATTCCCACAGTTATCTCTCACAGAGATTGAGCCAAAATAATGGAAGTCACTTTTCCAGTGCTGCACCTGCACCTGCACACACACACACACTTGGGCTGGCTCAGCACAGGCCAACCTGCATCCCACAGGAATTACAGCACACACAGAGTGGGCCTGCCTGCTTCCACAGGTCACTCAAAAGCAGGACAGTCCCTTTGTGTGTGGAGCCCAGACTAAGCCAGCTCGCTCAGCCTGTGTCAGTCAGAATTCACTGCCCATATATATATATATAAATAAATAAAAACTCTAGAGGGAACCAGCTGACCCCATGTGCTGCAGCCACAGGCTTGGATCCAAGAGTCAGGATGTACCAGGAGGAGCATGTAACTTCAGAGGCACTGACACACATGCACAGGCAATTCCAGAAGCAAGGCAACAGAAAAGAATCCAAGCTGGAGATGTTCTGGCATTCAGAAGGGACAGGTATGCAGATGAATCACATTTTATAGACAGTTTCCCATAATTTTCCTAGGACACACATTCCTAGCAAAGAATCCTTGAACGAAAGCACAGCACAGCCAGTAGAGTAACACTTCCTTCCTAATGGTAAGAATTCTATTTACATATTCGAGTTTAACCTTTTAAAGAGCTAAATCTTTCCATACCTAATACCAAAATAACCAATTTCTTAGTGCTCAGTCTCTCCTACATAAATGGGAGGTGTTCAAACAAGACACAGAGCTAATACATAACAGCTTATAACACAACTTTTATTAGAAAAGTTATACATAACAGCATCAACTATTTTCAAGAATATTAACTTTGAAAAGCAACAAAAACAGACTAAAAATGTGTAACAAGAAACTAATGACCTTTTCTATAATTAAACATTCAAGTTATCTACAATGTCTCTTTTTACAAAGGAGAAAATTATGGTTTTACAGGCACATCATGTTGAAAATAAAGCTGCAGTAACTTTATACAATTAACTTTTCCAAGGATTAGTAAAACATGGTCATCATGTAGTCTCAGAGTTCTTTAAACATTCACATAATTTTACAGTTGAGTATACACTGAAATTTAAGAGTCCCAAAATTATTTCACAAAAGTGCCAACATTAAAACCAGAACCTTCACTGTGAATAATTTTGCCCTAAAAAAAGTTAAGACAGGTCTCCATAATCAACATATTCACATAATTTCTGGTGCTACCTGGTCTAACAGTAAAGCTTCATTCTTTAGAAATAAAAATCAAACCGGACTTCTTTCGCAAAACTGATAAAACGTTTTGAACACGGGAGTGTACATTATCAGAAAAAATTGACACTAAAACCATAAATATATCCAAAGAGCCATTAATACACTACACAATTAAGTGGAATTGTGCCCATCTGTACTCTATATTCAAAGTTTGTTGCCCTTTTGGTACAGGTGGTATCTGATTTTAGCAATTTTTCTTCTTCTTACTGTCGGATGCTTGCTTAATAAAAAAATCAGATAATTTACAATCTAGAAGTCTGTTTTAAAAAGTCTGGAGTTTATATACAGCTCTAACAAATCTAAAGCATTATGATTTCTTAAATGGTTAAATGACATTACTAGTTTTCATTTGTCACTTGTTAACAGTAATTAGCCATTATCAGTAGTGGACCATAACAAGGTGATAAGTGACAAGGAATGTTTAGTCTAAAACGCTTCACATGTTCTGTCCTTTCGTGTATCACATAGAGGAAGTGCTTTCCACAGACACTCGTTTCCCCTTAGCATCAAGGGCTACAAAAATCTGACTGCAAAAATGCAGTGACGCAGCAAGCTGACATATCAGGCACTACCTTTCATATTGGCAGCTTTAAGAGACCCACAGTATGCACAAAGATCGAGAGAAGGGGAGAAAAAACTACTACTACGAGAAGCAGACCGAACATTTCAGATGAGTTTGGCAAAGTTTTTAATCAGACAAAAGGTTGGCCATTCAGATTTACTTGTATAGGTTAAAAATATCTCTACTGAATCAACTAGTGAAATTATTGTAAGACATTTTCATTGATACTCAACATCACATGCACCAATATTGCACACATCTGCTCTGAGCTGCTAAAACAATCTTTATCTGGGTGCTTGAGATGTCTGGTTTCTGCAGCTGGAACTCAAGTCACCCAACCCAGCCAGCAGTTTCACTAAAAATTTGAGTGGTAAAGTTAAAATCCAAACCCCAAAATAACCCCAAGAGAAAACCAAGGACTTTATACAGACAATAAAATCTAAATTTTCTGCAATGGTCTTGTGGGCCCTGCAGACAGGGCAATACACACGCACTGGTGAGAGGAGCACGAGCTCTGCCCCAGGGAACCATTCAGATAATGTGAAACCTGGGACCAGGGGTGGCAATGATGTCACTGTAGGGCTCCTCCTGTGTCAGCTCTATAGCTTGCTGCTTTTTCAGTACCAGGAAACTGTAGAACTTTGCAGCTGCTTGTTTTCTATTCGTATTTCTGCACAGCTCAAGCAAACTGATGGATTCTGCTCCAGTCTTAGCAAGAGCTCTCTGGAAAACACAACGTTGATACCACAAGTTAAATAGAGAACTACACAGAAACAACAATGTCTCTTGGCAAGATTCTGTTTGTTGACAACCCCAGGACACAGAGGGATTCAGAAGAATGGGAACATTACAACATGTACATGAAAATTTCTTTATGGATCTTAGCTAAATGAAACCTAGTAGGCTTCCGAGAGATGTGTGAAAATCATTCTTGAATCTGCTGAATGTATTCCAGAAACACTGTTGACTAGGACAAGATTTTATTTCTGAAACAATAGCTAACCAGTCTTTTTTGACTACAAGACAATTTTTTCTTAATGGGAATAAAATAAAGAAAAATCAAGCTTTATTTCTCAAAATAAATGTAATTCCAAAAACAATAAAGTAAAATTTCAAAAGCTAACATTCTTTAAAAGATGCATAATTTCCCAAAGTGAAAGCCTGTTTATTTCTAAGACTCCTCTGTCTTAAACTAAGTTCCCAAAGTCACTAAGATTTTCTCAAAGTCTTGGCAAGAATATATTTAAAAAAACAAATCATGATTATACATCTTTTTGCTGGCCAGGACAACAACTGAAGTGTTCAATTTAAAGCAGAACTGTCTGTCCTGGAATGAATTTCAACAAGATGAAAAGATATTTGGCTGGCCAAACCAAATTACTTTATATGAATCAGACCTTAACTCCAAATCTCATTGCAGATTTCATGTTTCAGCCATCCAATGTGATGCTCTTTTGAGGACATGGAAGAAAGAACTGAAAAAAGCCAGTTATGGCCAAAGAGATTTCTAAAGCTCACTTCAGAAACTGAGATAAAACATTCAGAGAGGAAAACATTACACAACACTACCAACTCAACATCAGCATACTTTAGAAATTATTTTTAAGCTTTTTTTATTTTAATCAGTTGTACTGATTTGGTTTGGGGCAGAGGCAATTTTCTTCACAACAGCTCACATGGTGCTGTTTTGCACCAAGTAGGCTGGAGCTGCACAAGGACTTGGGAGGGGACACAGCCAGGACAGCTGACCCCAAATGGCCAAAAGGATAATCCAGGCCCTGTAGCATCGTGCTCTGCCTTTAAAGCTGGGCGAGAGAAGAGGGGATGTGTGACCATGTGGGATGTGGCATTCAGTGACAGCCAAATCTCACCAGTTGCCAAAATGTTTAAGGGAACAAAGGAGCTACAAACCAGGCTGCAAGGCAAAGCTGGCCCAAGAGTATGTGGAGGACAAACACAGAGACTGATAAGCAAAGGAGCAGTTTGCACTTCAGGGTGAACATGGTGGGGTTCAGTCATCACATCAGAAAAAGCCTCTTTAGTTCCAGCAAGCAAGAATCCATCCTACAGACAGATATGTCTGTGCAGACTGAATCCACATGCTAGAAACCAGCCAAAGTCACATTTCCACAGCTGTCAATAGATTCAGCTTCTCATGGCATAACAGTTTTCAAACTAGCCTAGACAGGAAGTAAATGTCCTGTACACTGGTGTTATCCCTAGACTCTTAGGAGGGTTTGCCTAAAGACACATGGCAAAAAGTCAGAGGCACTATGATTTCATCAAAAATACAACCAGTTATTTTATAATTTCAACTTCTGTGCATATGGAGTGTGGACTTGAAGGTTGAAAAACATTTAGGTGAAAAATTTTAATTCAAATGTTCTCTAAACAATAAGTGACAATTATAAAAGTATAGATTTCATTTTAATACAATTATTTGATATAGATTTAATCAACTACATGCATTCTTCCCCCTCTAAGATAACTGGTATTCTGTAACACTGACTGCACAGAAAGCTCTTTCTTGACATTTTAACTCAGCTCAAAAGCATCAGTGCACACACTCCAAAGCTGCTCTAAGAGAAAGCAAATGATCATGTGTACCTGAAGGCCATGGAGCATTTGTTGAGTCCTCTTGTTCCACCTCCTTTCTTCTTGATCCTGATCACCCCCTGTGCCATCTTCCTCCTGGAAGCAGGTGTAAAATACAAGACATCAATGAAGTTTGTTACCACAGGATATTAAATACTGTGGCTAAGAGACAAGTTATCCTATTTGAAGACATGGCTGGTTTTCTTGCAAAAAGCTACTTTCATTAAGTAGGACAAGCTATTTAAAATGAACCACACCATTAAAGGTCTAAAGTTCTTATCTAAGGCATCACAAACATTCAGTGGTTTAATCCAGCCATGGGTGAGAACAAGAGAACACCAATTCAGAACAGAATATATATGTAATTTTAAAAATTACATAATATTATTAAATGGTTATGAAATAATTTAAGAATTACATTTCCAAGGGCTATTTATAAGGACAGACAAAAGAGTTATTTCTTATGCCTTTTACTGAATCCACAAACATTCATCCACTTCTAGGAAACACACAAACTGATTCTACAGAGTTCTTACTTCTTCTTCCTCCTCCTCCTCTTTCTCCTTTTCCTTCTCCTTCTCTTTTTCTGGCAGAAGTTCTAGCTCTGGTATTAGCTGGCAGATGTTTTGGGGCTCCTCTGGAGGCATTTCTACAGGTGGTATTTCCAGTTGTTGTGATGGTGGATGCTTTAAGAGCACACAATACAGTTAAACAAACAGAATCATTTTGTCATCTCTTTTACAATAGAACAATGGTGCTACAGACCAGTTTAATAAAATACAAGTATGTAATCTTAGTCATTTGTCAGGATTTTTCATTTTTGAAAACCAAAAAGCAATTTTGTTTTGCTGTCTATATGTGTATTTTCAATCCTTTAGATTCTACTCAAACCAGAAATTATGACACCACTGTAAAGTAAAAAGGCTTTCCAGTAACTTCACTTATGCCACCATCCAAACTACTGATCTCATTCCTTGGATCAGCACATGCAAATTTAAAATCCCACATCACCAGATGCAATGCTACACGAACACACTTTAACTCACTGGAACTAGACATCTTCAAAATATCAAAATGCTGTTCTCATCAATACAAACGTGAAGGGATTAAAACATTGGTACCTACAAAGTTTCTGAAAACACATGAATTACTTTGGTGCTAAAGTATATTCTCAGAAAATATTTATGTCAAGAGGAAAATACAGAAAAGAAATTTAATAGGATTTATGAAGACAGCTTTAGTAAAATATATGGTACTCTCCTCCCCTCTCCGAATCTATAAACAATTAAGTGTTTGCCAGTAAAGTTACCTTGACATGTGAAAGTGTTTCTACACGTACCCTAAAAATGGCAAAGCAACTTCTGATGTAGTCACACAGCAGGTATCACTACAGGTTGTTGCTAGAGGCCTGACCTGGCCTCTAAGATAATCACAGAATTCCCAACACACCAACACCCCCAATGACACTGACTTAGCACAGTCGATGCTGATTTCACCCCATGAAAGGGCAAAAGGAGCAGCAGCTGCCACCCTGCTTACTAAGATAATGTAACATCTGACAGTCCCATTCTACAGTGAACAACCTGTCAGCCAAGGAATGTGAAAAGTGAGGTTAAAAAATGCACAAACATGAGACACAGCATGAACAGGACTGTTCTCACCATGAAAGCATTCAGAAAAATACACCTTTCATTTTGCCCATTTCCTTCCTCTCCCCTTCACAAACAGTTTCCTTTGACACTGCATCACAGCTAGTGTCCAAGTCTATTCACAACTCAACCAGGAAATCTCTCCAGATAATCAAAGTTTTTCTTTGAAGCCTTAAGCCTGGAACACTAGGGCTGTCTTAGAAGACATTTATGGAACTAACACTATCCTTGCTTCATGGAAGCTGTTCAGATACACTTGCCAAGCATGACTTGATAAGCAATCCACTAGATTTCTTGAAGACTTTTACTGGAGGAAGAAGTAAAATTTCTTTATCCTACCAGCATTTCAAATGCTTCAATAAACTTTTCAGCTAACAAAAGCAACAGAATGATACCCAGGGACAAATGCTCTGATACTACTACAGTGAATCTCAAAGGACCATAGAAAGCTCAAATCTGTGTCATTTCCTACTCAAAAGCACTGCTCATTCCCATTCCCCATACAAACCAGTAAAAGGTTGCTCACAGGTAACACTGGCTCTGGCTCCACTTGCTGCAGTTTGCGTTTGACCCCGGTCTGGGCGGGCGGCGGTGGCATCACCGACTCGTCCAGGTTGGTTCTGCTGCCCTCCATCATCGACTCCTGCAGACGGCTCGGCTCTTCCACGATAGGTTCATCTGCATTCACAACAAATCTTCTTTTAGATACTTAGGAATGTTATTAGAAACTGTAACAAAATCCAATCATTTTAGAATTGAGCACTCTCAACAGCCTGCAATTTTAATCCACTGGTTAAAGCAATTCCTAAGCATCCCCTATTTCTAGGAAAAAGAAGTTATTTTATGTCAGAGATTGCATGACATCAAGCTAAACAACCATTACAAAGCTCATTGTTTCATACATAATCTTTGATGACTTAATACAAAGCACAGATAAAAGAGAAATATATGCTCCAAAGGCAAGCAGAGCATCTTTAACAAGACACAAACCAATGACATCTCGTTGCTGCTGCTGCTGTTGCTGCTCCTCTCTGGGAACCTCTGGGTTTTCAAAGTCTTTAAGGAATTCATCAAGATTGTCAGCTTCTCCACCTTTCCTCCTCTTTCTCAGGTCTTCTGGTACCAGAGGTGTAAGACAGCGAGTAAAGAGCTACAAAAGAAACATGACATTATTCACTATTGCAGTTCTCAGTGTCTTTTTATTTCATTTTGGATTAAGTAATTATGGCCTATATTTTTTTATCAGTTTTGAATCTCCTCTCCAACAGTACTAACTTCTAAAAATTTATTTATCTTTGTAACTGATCACAGCAATGTTCAAAATATTTACCTTAATTCTTTTAATGTATTTTTTCTTCCAATTATGAATACTGCCATCACTATATCACTATTTATATGCTGACATTTGCTATACATGAAGCACAATTCTGAATATAGCTCCATTTAAAAATAAACTTGAACAAAAACATTACCTTCAGTAGTCTGTTATTCCACAAAGGCTGTGCAGGCAGAGAGAAAAGCTTTTCAACTCCACCGGTTTCTTTCCACATCATCAATTTCTTGGTAGGAGGTGCCAAATCCAAAGTAGTGACAATATCAGAGTAGTCACTTAATTGGGCTCGAATAGTCTTGCTGTCCAGTTCTTTCACACTGTCCACAATCAGCTTTCTTTTCCTCTTTGCTTTGGTTTCCTTGACTGTTGAGATTTTTAGCAAGCAATGAGGGTTAGCTCAAACAGGTACCACACTGTAAAAGAATCCTGCAAGTTCTCTACAGGTCTTGCCTGCCCACATATAAAGCTGCCTCAAGAATCTAAGGCAACACCAGCTTTGGGAGAAGGATTAAAAGCTATGTGCAGTACAAAACATCAAATACTATATGAAGGCTCTCCCATAACCTGCAAGTTCTTCTGTGAATTTAAATCTATCTAAGCCTCAATGCCCTCAGCTGCACATGCCCCTCTCTCCCATGGTTTGCTTGATAGGCTGGTGCAAACACTGGCCACCAAGTTGAACAGAAGATGGAGCACCTCTCTTATGAGAAAGGCTGAGAGATTTGGTTTTGTTCAGTCTAAGGAAAAGGGAGCTTTGGGGTGGCCTAATTGTGGCCTTCCAGTACCTGAAGGGAGCCTACAAGGAAAATGGAAGGGACTTTTTACAAAGACATGTAGTGAGAGGATAAGGGGGATGGGATGGCTGCCAGCTGACAGAGAGTACATTCAGACTAGATGTTGGGAAGAAGTTCTCTGCTGTGAGTGTGGTGAGGCACAGGAACAGGCTGCTCAGAGGAGCTGTGGATGCCCCATCCCTGTCAGGGTTCAAGGCCAGGCTGGATGGGGCTCTGAGCAACCTGGTCTAATGGAAAGTGCCCCTGCTCATGCCAAGAGAGTTGGAACTAGATCTTCATGATTCCTTCCAATCCCAGCTATGACTCTAATCACAGATTTAAAACACCATACCCACTTTTTCCCTTAAGCCCTACCTGAGCTTTGGTAGAGTTAATGTGGGTGGTTATTTTAACTGTAAACTTCTAACCCTGTTCTAGGATAACATGACTGTGCTCACAGCCTGTACTCTGCAGCAGACCCTGAGGCTCTGGTAAATGCTCTTTGCAGGACCAGCAGATGAGCTGGTCCCCTGCTGCCAGCCTGCCACGAGAGGGCAGTGCCATGGCTCTCCCACCGGCCAAGCAGGGAATCAGGGCCTGGAGCTCAGCCTAAAAGCACAGGACAAGCTACTTTCTTTCCAGATGTTAACTTTTTAATAAAGCAGGGGTCAGTATATAATAAGCCAAATAGTATCTGTTAAAATAAGCAAGTTTCTTGCATTAAAGAAAAATATAAGGAAAACCCCTAACTAGTAGAAATTCAAATACAAGGTGCACCTCCTGAAATCAGCAATTCCTTAAAGCTACAAATCACTAGAACAGCAGTCATTCTCAGTGTAAAGCATCAGTCCTGTCCTTCAAACACAAGGACTGTGTTTATCAAGAACTGTGCTGTACTACAGATACCATATTAGAATGAAAGACATGCTGAGCTCCATTTCAACTCAGTGCATTTTAACTAGCATATTTATCTAAAGCTACAGTATCATGCTGTTACATGCACTGACTGCAGAAGCTACAAACTAGTATTCTCTGACACCATCCATGTAAGCTACCTCTCTGGAAGGTACTGGAGGGCTACTATTAGAATAAATGGAATTCAGCACTTGATCCCAGCTTTCTCTCCCAAGTGAGCAGCAGAGTCAGCAGCAGTGCTAGACATTCATTTCCACTCCATCAAGCTAAGGTGGTCTCTGACAAACTGCACAGTACTCCCCAGCAGCTCACTCACCAGTTATGTCAATAGGCTCCAGAGCAAAGGCCTCCTCCTCATTGGGGACGAGCGTTGTCTGGTCAGTCATGGTTGGTAACGGCTCCACGGGATCCACCGAGTCGGGGCTGTCCGGGCCTCCCACTGCCGGCGACAATGAGAGCCTTGCACTAGGTCAAAACACAACAGGCTGGGCCACCCCTCCCTGCCCTCCTCCACACCTTCAGGGGGCTCCCCACACTTCACACTTTTGAGCTTAGTATGCTCTTCAGGAATTAGAATCCAAACTACATGAGTTGAAAGTAATTCTAGGTCTGGTCCTGGATCATACTCACTTGACACATTATCATCATCATCCATATCATCGTGGGGAGGCTGCTCTGGCATCATTACTCCACTTTCTGAGAGTGCAGGTGGGTCATCAAAAATGCCACCATCATTATTACTAAGAAGTTTGTCATCTAAAGAAACCATATGAAAGAATCAGTTTTGCATCCACAAATTCATGAAATAAGTATAGCCAAACTCACAAAGAAGTACAGACAAGTTTATTACAATACAGATGAAGATAGTGCAAAAGTCAGAAAGAGCTTTCAATGCTGACATAGAAGAAGGTAGCAGTGTTCTTTCAAGGGGCTTTTCAGCTCTAATTCTGAGCTTACAGATAACATTTATTACCATATACTTGCCACATATTTGCATCTTACATCTAATTTTTTAGAACTTTGTTTTAAATATGCCAACACTTAATATGCTGTGAGTCAGCTATACTGTTGTAGTACTCACAAACCAGAATATATGCTCAGTGCACATACACACACATACATATATACATTTTATATATATATATATATATACATACAGTGAGTAAAAATACTCACTGTACAAGGCACAACTTTTACAGGATCTGGCAACAAAGAAAACAACTTCCCCTAATCTACCCAAGAACTAATTAATTAAGGTAGGAGGTAGGATAGAGGAAAAACAAATTTCTCAAACATACCCAATATTCCACCATCATTTCCTTCCCCAAAATTATCATCTTTGTATTGGTCTTCATACTCCAGGTGATTAGATTTCTCGTTGAGGTGACTGGTGCTCTGTTCAGGTTCCAGGAGGAGATTGGAAGCACTTGTGCTCACCAGCATGTCATCCTCAAATGCACTACCACCTTCTCTCATCATCTCACGATCATCCATCCCAAAGTCACCTGCAAGAATACAATTGCACTGCTCTAAGTGCTACAAAATTCAAAATGCAAGAGACCTACCTAACTGATCAACAAAGGCCCATATGTAGGACCAAACTTTAATTCAATTAATCCTATTTGCAGAGTTAATGACAAGATGTTAAGGAATTGTGACCAGCAACACCATAGCATAAAATACTGTTCAACCAATTATAAAAGCATCTCCTTTTCAAAGCATTTTATTGTTCTTATTTGAATTGATATTAGCAAGGTCCTACTAAACTTTATCTGCACAGAAACCAAAGAATGCAATGGAATTCAGACATTGTGCCTTAAGCCTCAAGGCTGGACTTCAATAACAGGGAACAAACCAACACCCAGTCAACACCATTTTTAGGTTATTCTTTCAAAACTATTACCAAATTATGGTTTACAATACTGCAGGTTAGGAACCAGAAATTCAAATAAAACTGTCCTTAGGTTTTGATTCAGATGTTAGAGTACTGTCCTTGAAAGGATATCTAAAGTAGCAAACTTGTCACCAGTGACTGATTCAGCTTTAGAAATGTCCCACTGGTTTCTGACTGAGAGCATGCTTATGATTAAAGCAACAGCTCCCTTCATATTCACATCAGATTTTGAAAATTATAATGGTCACAGTACTTCAATGATTAACTTGACTGAATATTCTTCAGCTTTTCTTTCTGCCTATTCTAGGCAGCTAGAAGTTTGCTGAGCATTAGAGGACAACCTTCTGGAAAAACTGACATGAACTAAAAATTAAACATACAAAACCACAGCGTGTTTGATCTATTTTGTTTAGAATTCATTGGGCATTCCATAGTAATTGCAAAACCATATCTTACAATAACTAAAATTAGCTAGTAACACATAACACATGAGATCTTTACCAAAGTCATTATCCTGGAGGATACTGATGTTGCCTACTTCTTCTCTCATTGTAATTTCTTCCACTCTACTCTGGTTCAAACTGAACTGCTGAGCCACATCAATATCACTTAAACAAACAGAAGGCAATTATTAAAAATCTCATTAAAAAACAAAGAACAGATAAAGGCTGCTGAAATAAACATGACATTATTCAGTAAAAAACAATTTTACATTCAAGTCCATTATTGAAAAAAATAAAGGTGAACACTGAATAGAAACTACTACTTAAAACAGTGAGACTATTAATGGTTCAAACCTATCATCCAAATTGCATTAGCTTCTGGGAAATGTATCAGTAACCCCTCTGACTCCTTGCTGTGTTGGGATTACTAATTTCAAAGAGCAAATTAACAATTAAGAAAAACCTTCCACCCCTTCAACTTCAAAATCTATTAATACAGTTTATCAAACACTGTATTTTGCAGCACTACCAAGCTAACAACCTTTGTGGTGTATTAAGGTGCATTTCTTATAAATACACAGAAATTTTTGCACTTTCAAATTAGCATATACTCTAATTTGAATTTAAACTAAATTGAACACCGAGTAAGCTGGATTCTAAAAACTCCGTGATGAATAACTCAAATTAAAAAAAATAACAAAAAACATCCGTCTTTTAAAGATTAAGAACTATTCAGGTTGTATGCTTGTTGTATACGTGTTATATGTAAAAGTAACCAGTGAGTATTAAGAAGATTTAAGAATTAAAAGTGCTACTTTGAAAGGTCAATAACATCCCCATAAAATGAATCTTGTCCAACCTAAGGATGTATGTGATGTAGGATGCCTTGCATAGAAAAAAAAAAAATTATAATAGGTATCTGAGTTTTTGAAAAGCTCCTGTAAGGACAGCTTTAATTTCAGTTAAAGTCAATGCTGCTATGAACTTAAAATCAACACAAAAATGACTGCACACTTCCTTATCAGTATATAAGAAAGACCTAAGAATAGAAGTTACCTACAGACTATTTTTTTACATTCAGCAGTGAGTTAGCTGTTTCAAACCAGGTTCTCCTCAACTAAAACCAATTCTCAATGTCATGGAAATGGACAAAACCCCAAGCTTACTCTAGATCAGGGAGCGGTTGGTCAAAATCGTGAAACTCCTCAGGTAAGGTAATAGCATTATAAGCAGCCTCTCTGTTTTCCTCAGGCAAATCAACAACTCCTGCAAGGAAGAACACCCAAACATCAGTTCCCATTCCTTACAAGGACAGCACTTTTCACTGTGCCATTAGCATTTTCTCTCTGCAAGGGCCTACTGTCTTTAAATTTGTTGAACTGAACTGATGCTGAGATACCTACAAAGAAACCTTAGATAATGGAAGCAAGTGAAATTCAAACTAAATTCAAAACAAATATCCTCAAGCCCTTGCACTGTCTGTATAAAATAATGTTTGTGTAGCACTATGTTGAGCTGTGCAGCCAACACATGCATCATATTTCACAACACTACAGGTACCTGCTCCAAAAGAATTTAATCATGATACATGGTATGAGCTGCAGGGTTCTACACTGCAGGGGCAGCACAGTGTGACTACTTTGCTATTGGTCCTTTATTCAGTTCCACCAGCTCCAGAAGTCCTGGAACACAACTGATTGCACTTGGGGCTCACTAACTCACAGGCTTCTGCACATAAGAGCTTTATTACCAAAACCACCACATACCTTTTCTTATCCTCCAGAGATGCTTACTCTTATTCAGCAGGCATTCTCAGAGCATGAATATCAGATTGGGCATCACAAAACCAGTGCCAGCAGTTGGTCCCTCTGTTTTATTCAAAGTCTTAAAAGGTCAGGGCACTTGAAAGTGCATGGGAAATGCAGGTTCAATTCCTTCTGTAACTTGCAGAAGATTTGAGCTCTATGCTCTGCCTTCTGACCCACACATATAACACAGGCAATTCTGAGGTACAGATACTTCAGAAACACTCTGCTCACTGTGCTCCCCTCTGCAATGAATAATCAAAGAACCACTGTCCACAGAGACCAGGAACAAGCATGAGTCTGTAGCTTATTCATCATGGCACTTGACTAGGAATAAAGATATCTAGTCCATCCTTTCAGGGCTGTTAAATATTTTTACTTGTCTGCTGCTTAAAATGAAACATGTAAATGATTCTCAGAACAGAAAGACTCAATGCCTAAGGCAGAAGGCTGATAAGTCTGAAAATAAAGACCAGTGCCTCAGCTTCTGTCAGGCCAGCATGCCACTCTTTGTAAATCTTCATTTCAAGGTGCTTTGACATGCACACTGTTAGGAGAGGGAAAATAGGTTGCCTTGTGATATTAAAATTACATTCTTATTATAACCCAGGGAAGTTAAAACATAGTAATAAAGAAAAAATTAGTAACAGTCAACAAATTGCCACTGAAAGCTACATAAAATTCAGTACTAGAATTCAGTGCCTGAATCACAACCTGTAGATCAGGAAATGAAGATAAAGGCATTACATACCTTAACTTTTCTCAAGTAACTGCTGTACTGGCTTTCAAGAGCTGCCTTTTGAAAAACAAAGTCTCCCTCAATTTCAGCTTTTAAATCTATTGCACTCACTAACTTAAAAAGGTAGAATATGATTTAGCAGCTGTGAGCATCCAGCAGCATCAGTGCCACTGCTACACTTCAGCTGAGAAAAAGTTCCTCAGGCCAAAATTAAAAATTTCCCCAGGCCAAAATTAAAGAGAACTATCTCTAAAGACATGAAAGAATAAAAGCCAAATAATTCATTGACTGTTGGACAGAAAAGTCATTTCAGGTATTAATATGGCACCCCATTTTAATGCAAAATATTAAAGTAAGCAACTACAGAGTGGGAAATTATGTTGCAAACATATAAAAGGAAAACTATCTTTGATGCCCACATTACAGTCCACATTATTTTCAGAAACTATTATATGAAAGTGGTAAAAAACCAGCTTACTTTCATGTTTCTTTTGTAACTCATAGCAAAAGAATCCTGAATCCTGATGGAAACCAGTCCCCTTCTGTGCTTCTATTCAGTAGGGCACTGGCCTTCTTCAGACAGAAGGTAAAATCCATGCAGTGTATTTCCATTTAACATCATACACCAGCCACAGCCAAAACTGTAAGTGGGATTTTACAGAATCAGCACTGATAAGAGAAGTTTTTGTTCAGAATTCAGTTAAAAGATATTGTTCAGCAGACAACTCAGTCAGCCAGCCAGCTGCAATAATTACTTCTCCTATAACCTATACCTGTATGTAATTACACAGACACAAGAAGGCAGAATTGTATGCCTTCTTAATAAATACATTTATCAATGTAGCATTTCAGAGAGTGCTTAGATACAGACAGATACCTGGACGAAAAGCCATCTTAATCTTAATGAAAGCCTCATTGCAGTCTGCAAGAAGATATTTTGCTTTCCTGTGGTAGATTCTAACAACACCTAGCAAAAGATGTCCTGAGGTTCGAAGTGCCATCTTCACCTAAAAACACATTGCACATCAGTGAATTAGATGTATCCTCAGTATTCCCTTAAATGACACCTCAGTCACATTTACATGAATTTTCTCAGTAAAATCAAATATCTAAAACAAGTATAAAAATCAGCAGAAATTGAAGAAACAAAGAATGCAAAGTCTACAGTTCAAGATGATACCCTATTACATTATTTATAGATGACCTAGCAAATACCACTAAATTAATAGCAGCTCACCCCAGGAATTCCCAAACACTGCTCTGCCTAGTTAAAAAATAAGTGACAAAGCCTATTTTTACAACATTTTCTTTTCTCCCACCTTTGCTACTTCAATTGTGGAAAAAGTGAAAAATACAAAAAGCTGGGCAGCCATAAATAATGATTTGATGTAAGCTACCTCTCCATTTTCTGTCCTGAAATGAGAAACAGTGGAAGATGTGGAGTGCCCATAAACAAGCGCTGCCACCGTAAAACAATTTCAAAGTTCTCTTCCAGTTCAATCTCACTGCTTTACCATGTAATGAAGTATCTACTGTGGGAACATAAAACTGAAAAAAAGTAATTCACAGAAGGAGTCTTCTTTAAGTATGTTAGGCTGAAAGAGCATGAAATTTGTGTTGAATGGTACGTGGAATAATTATCTCACAGAAAGAGTGAGCAATACAGGATTTAACACCAACATAAGAATTCAAGATTTTTATTTCCTCCAACATATTTTTAAAATATCAGCTAATGAACTGTTACATACAAAGTTAAATATATGAAGAAATGCCTATTAGTTTCTCTTTTCTCTAAAAGAATGCTCCAGCTCACTAGTGAGACTATGAAGATGATCCTCTTCCTAAATCCTTCCAAAAGTGATAATGAAACAAATCACTACTCGAGAAGAGTGAGCATCTCTGTGATTGTACAATACACTTTTTGCTTACACTTAAAGTTTTTCTAAAATCCAACGCAGCACTATAAAAACTGTTAACATTTGTATCAACCAAAGTAGAAGATATAAGTTTTCTTTTGTTTTCAAGTAGCTGCTTTTTTTATAAGACACTGATGTCTGTTAAGTGACAAAAATCACAACTGCACCACTGGTTTTAAGATGAACAATTTGTCATGAGTAGCAGAGGGAAAGAAAAACATGTAAAATCATTAAGCTACTTAAAATTTCCTCCCATTTCACAATAGAGTATTATTTCACATCCAAACACACCTTTCCACCCTTTAAAATAGCAACACGAAGAACTTCATTTGATCAGTGACCCAAACAGTAATTACCACGTGTACACTCAAGTTCTTTTCAGTGCAAGGACCCATGAGACTGGTGTAGAACAGATACCTTTGGGGAAATGATGCTCTCCACGCTGCTCTCCAGGTTACATTCAAACACATGGGCTTTGGTCAGCTTCTTGTCCCAGTGGGCTGCCAGCCAGATTTTGGCCAGCGGCCCACGTTTGCTCAGGACAAAGTGGGCATAGAACATGGTCCCAGATGTCTAAAGCAAAGTGCAAACCTGCAAGGAGAAAGGCAAGTATTTCTTTCCACATCTTTTATTTTATGAGGAACATCCTTGCAAATACCTCCCTCATCCTCAGAAGTAGTACGCATATTTGATTCTTAAGCACTGAGGTCAGACTATTTGTTTAATATGTTTAAGAAGCCAACACTTACAAATGGTATCCATGTAAGAGCATATTACATGGATAATGTAATGTATGGTAATGGATAATGTAATGTAATGTATTTATTACAGAAGAATTACAAAGCAGAAATAACACCCACTAACAGCCACATACACAACTTAGAAATGTTTACCATAATCTTGAATCTTTTTACCTTTAAGGTAATGATACCAAACTCACCTAATGCAAAGAAGCACATCTCAGTTTTCACTCCACAGTAGTTTCCTATGACTTTCACTTCTTTCTACTTTTAGTTCAGTAGCTACTACTCTACTATACCAGCATATATTGTATATTGTTCCAGCAAAAGATTCACCTTTATAAAATATACAGCCCTAAATCTTTTTGGACTTCACTATAATTTCCTTCCTAAACAGAAAGCACAATCATGTCTTCCATTTCTGAGCAGACCATTCTCCATTTCTTATTTTTTAAAATCAAATGTTGACAAAAGTGGTGAGAAAATTGACTGCATTATTCCAAACTTCCTTAGGATTCCATTTTCTTTCTCCTTCATCAGAAAAAAAAGACATTCTTATCTATTTATCTAGTTATTACTTTGTTACAACTGATAAGATGCCAACACATCAAACCATGGGGAATCAGAACAGCAGGATGCCTTGTGATCTAAACATGCCACTTCCATGCATGAGGTAAAGATATGATTCAGTTAACTACAAGTAAAGAAAAGTTTGCTTTAAAAAAGTAAAAGAATCTCCACAAAGAGTTTTTCCAGTAGTTTCTATAACCCAGGAAAATGAATCAAAAGAGAAGAACAGAAAAGGCACAATAAATGCATTTTAGTTTTTACCTCCTCTATGCCTACAGAAACACAGCCAGAGGAAGCACAGCAAGTCACAATTGATACTGCTCAGAATTTAAGTACAGGGGCAAGAGAAGCTCTGACATTATGATTCAGTGGAAATAAAGCCAACCTCCAGACATCTGGAGAATAAATGAAAAAATGTACATCTCAAAGTCAAGTCCAAAAAAGATGGGCATGAGCAAGTTTTTCCAGGAAGCACAATGAAATAAATTTTGGATAAACATTATCTAAAGGAAGGTATTATACTCCCCCCCCCCCCAGGATATTCTAGAAGACATCACACTGTCTTAAGGCCAGCAGACAATTCAATCCTTGCATATTTTTGAAGGCCTCAGTATTTTTGTATATGCAGAGACATAACTCTGCAGCACAGCATTTTAATATCTTGAGTTGCTACCAAAACCATGCAACAGTGAGCCTGTAATTACCTCTGAACATGAGGAACAGGGGAGAACACAAACATAGAGTAAGCAAAACCACTTGTATTAATCCATTAAAAGCATTCAATAACAACTGCAAAATAATGTACTTTGATTAGTGGAGTTTGGCACAATTATTAAAACAGATAACATGGGTTTCACAAAACTTCAAACTTAGAGTTAACTGAAAACATACTTAAGTTTCCTGTTAAATGTGAAACTCACTATTTAGACAACCTGGACAAAATCTATTTATCTATCACTTCAAATCTGTTTCTCTTCATCCATCACTGAAGCCTTGCCATACTGAAATACACAAAGGGAAACAGTGACAATCACACCACAGATAGTTTAAGGCGTGTTTCAATCTGAACTGCTATTAACAAATAAGGATTCTATTACCTAAAGCAATAATTTCTTGTCACATGAGTCCCTGCCACTTCCAAATTCCAGCAGATGCTCTGGCAGTAGCTAGGTTACAGCAACTGTACAATCCCACCTTTACAGCTCAGCTGTTTGGCACCTCAGCTCTTCAAAGTGAGCCCCAAAGGCTCCTCCTGCTTTCTCCAGATTTTGTCTTTCTTTTCAGATTCTCCCTTTTCTGCATTTCAGGCTTTTTGTCTGATCTTTAATTCATAGCAGAGTATGTTGATGCAGTGGCATAAAGGGAGAAATAGATTTTCTGGCATAATTTGAGATTGGGACAAATGTTAAAGGAACTAAGAGTTTCTACAAGTGGCAGAGTGCTCAGGCAGACACATAGAATATATCACTGGCTGAAAAGCAACTCCTAAGAATCCACAAAAGGGTAGCTGATGACTTAAAAAGCTTGTAAAGTAAAATACAACTGTCAATTTTTGAAATTGACTGGGTATGAAACGGGACCACAAAACTTTTTCTAAGAACTTTGGCATTTTTTGTTTTGCTTGCATTCCTCTAAGGCAAAAAGAGTATGTACTCACACAAGGCCAGGCAGGACCACATCCTGATCTTGCCAAACCAACCTTTCAAAATACCTGCAACTTTATTGCCATTAGCTTTGAATTTGCTTCAATGTGCCACAATTATTCTCAGGTTTTCTCAGCCTAACTTGGTCAACAACTGCACAATTTAAAAAATACAGATGTGTCAAAAAATCTCCTCTACTCAATGCTCTTCACTGCACTTCTACACACAAAGTAAGTGAATGCAAAGCAGAACTAAATAATACTGGTCATACCCAGGGTCTGAGCCAGAAGGTGCCCATTTCACCTTCACATCTGAGACTCTGGCAATTGCTCCTTCCAAAGTAGCAGTAACAAAATTTGGTAGATGGTGTAACTATGGGCTTCATCTTAACCCTCAACATGTATTTCATCTTAAAATCCTTGTTCTGACTAGAACAGCTGTCTAACCTCTGAAGAGCACACTGGCATAGCGAGTCCCATTCTTCAAGGCACGCAGAAAGGTGCTTAATGAACTAGGGGCTGACAATAGGCAGAACATTCAGCATATTTTTATTTGACTGTGGCTCACTCTAGCTCATTAAACCCACTCATCAGCTGCTCTCCCTAGGTTAGGTTATGTACACACACACACCAGTCCACAACTAAAGTTCAGTTTTCTGGTTTTTACTGTCACCTACTTTTGGTCCTTGTAAAGCTTTTCCAAAACCACGGTCACACACAGACAAGTAGATAAATTCCACACTACAGTTTAAAAACTTAGCCAGTCATTTTAATTAATTTGTCCTTCTGCTATCCTTCAATTTCTCTTCTTTGCCGGTTTCTCCCCACCTGCATATTTTCCTCCTAAGCTGTTTCTGCTTTGCTAAGTCCAGGCAGCCCTGGGTGATCTGGGGAAGGTTGAGATCACCCTGTGCACCTGCATCAGTCTGAGCTGGCCCTACCAGACTGCAGAAGTCCTACCATTCAGAAGAACTACTCTGACCCTGAAACTATTCTTTGAATTCTTCAGCTTGAACTCATAACCCCTTCACTCTCCAATCCTTCTTACATCACTAAACTTCCCATGTGTGGGCACTCACCAACCCTGCTTCCCTGGCAGGTTTTGGTACCACACTGAACATCTGGTGCCACTCAAAAAAAATTCATCACAAATTCCACTAATATCACAGCTCCAGGCCTCTTTTTGCCACTACCTTATCTGCTATCCTTCCTGCAATCACCTTTAGAACTGTCTGGTTAATCCACATTTATCTGAATTTTAATATATTTCTTTGTGCCACCTGCAGCTTTACTAAAGCTCAGTGTCAAGTCACCTTAATTTCTTTTGTCTAAAAATTCGATTATTGAAAAAGATAAAAGTGAACTAGCTCAACTTTACATACCTTTGGTAAACACATACAACATTTTCCCTTTGTCTCTAAGTCTTGTTTCTTGCATCAACAATCTGTCAGAAACTCTACGGCTGAGGCTGCACCACCAGGTCTATTAATTCCTCAAACCATACCACTCAGTTAGAGGAACGGCACCCACTGGTCTCCAATTACAATACACCACACACCCACACAATCAGATAGAAGCAGCGCCCCACTCAGGTTACCAATTCAAAAGGCAGATCACTCACCAGTACTGTAAGAGCTGGAAATTACCGAACCCTCTGAACACCACTGTCCTCCTCCCTCAACTCCACATTCCCACCTAACCCTCAGCAGGTATCCTGCCCTTGCCCCTACACTCAGAATGCTCAACCAGTAGAAAATAAATCTTATTAGTTTAAGGCTCTGTCTCCATTATCCCAACCTATTTTGTGCAATTCCAGATCCAATCCAAACTAATAAATGTGCATAAACCATGTACTAACACACTCTTTTAAAGGTATGGAAGTTGAACATTCCTTATATTATTTCATCTTTTGCAGTTATTTCTCTGCACTGGTCATCCAAGAGCCCAAATGTAAAACACTTTTAAAAATTTTAACTTTCCGAGGTTAAACTGATGTGGTAACTAAAGCAAATACTCTAATTTCTGTGGGAAATCCCACAGTATAAGCAAGACATGATTAATGTGTGTGGTAATTTAAGTTTATTGTAGGTCTCACTAACTTTTTGCTCCTCCTTTTATTACCTCTATCAAACCTACTTCCTCTCTAGTTAAAACTTGAGATGAGATGAATTTGGGAAAGCAAGGCCCAGATGAGTGGGCCTTGCTTTCCCAAATTTTGTAAAATGTCTAATATTTATGAATGAACCTTCATAAAATAAAACAGAAGCCTGGCCCCAATAACGCTTTGATGTCCCCCAGGTTTGATAATGAGTTCTACTGAGTAGGAGATTAATGAAAGTGTGCTTATCACCCACATTTGCACAATGTGGGCCTAAATGGTAACTCCTCCAAATTTACAGTAGTTTATGTGTCTGAATTTAAAGAAAAGCTGTTTTCAATGAAAGATGCCAATAAGTCACAGTGACCCCAAGTTTCCTTTGTTATTGATAAAAACAACGCCCTATTTTATATATTTAACAGAAGCGTTTCTAATCAGAACCAGAGAAATCTTAAAAACAATAGCAAGATTTCCAACAGTGTCCATAAGAGCAAGATCCCGGTTCTCCAAAAGGCCGGCATTTTTAAAGGGCCCTTTTATTTGCAGCTAAAAAGCCCCAGCGTCCAGAAGGGAGCTCATTGCCACTAGAGAGCCTGTGAGAACATTCAGTACCCTGTCCCATCCATGGCAGAGGGAAAACAGCACTCAAAACCAGAAGAGCGGCAAATGGAACTTCGCTCCCGTCCCTCTGCCCAGACCGCAGCAGCCTCGCAGTCCGTTTAGCGGGGCTCGGTTACAGCTCTGGGCTCGGTCTCACGGCGGGGCTCAGTCACACGGCGGGGCTCGGTCACAGCGAGGCGGCCCCTGGGCCTCCCCGCGGCCCGGCTCACCCCGGGAAGGGCCCCGCGGCTCCTCGGCTGCCCCGCGGCCCGGCTTTTCCCGCGGCTCCTCGGCTGCCCCGCGGCCCGGCTCTCCCCGGGCAGGTTCCCGCGATTCCTCGGCTGCCCCGTGGCCCGGCTCTCCCCGGGAAGGTCCCCGCGGCTCCGCTCGTGTGGCCGCTCCAGGTGCGCGGACCCCGCTCCCCACAAGCCGTGTCCGTGCCGCCGCCAGGCCGCACTCAGGGCTCCGCCTCAAATCGCCCCGGACACCCGGCCCCGCGCAAGGTCCTGGGGCGGCCCTGCCCTTCCCGGGGAACCCCCGGTGTCGCGGAGCACCAGGCGGGCCCTCCTCGCCGGGAGGGTTCAGCCGAAGAGCTCCGAGGCCGAGCATGACGGCAGCAGCCCGAGAGCGGGGCTGCAGCTGGGCCCCGCCGGGCCCCTTCGAGCGCCGGCAGCGACCGCGGAGGCCGGAGCCACTCCTTACCCTGCTCCGGGCCCGGGGCCCGCTCGCTGCTCCTGCCGAGCCGAGCCGAGCCGGGCCGGGCCGAGCCCGAGCCGAGTCGAGCGGCGCCGAACCGAACCGAAGCTGAGCCGAATCCGAGCCGGGCCGAGCCGAATGAAGCCGAAGTGGAGCCGAGCGGAGCCGAGCCGCTCGTTCAAGCAAACAAGATGGCGGCCGCGGTCCTTCCTGCGCGCGAAGACGCCGTTCAAACCGCAGGATGTTTACGGTCAAATTCCCCCCACCCCCACCGGCCCCGGCCGCGCCACTGCGCGTGCGCGTGGCTCCGGGAGACGGGGCAGAGCCGCGGGCGTGACGAAACGGCCGCTGAGTGACAGCGGCGCGCGGGCCCAGGGGGGGGCGGGGCCTCGGCGGGGGCGCGGCCGGGCTGTGAGGGCGCCCGCCCTCGTTGGGCCTCGGGCGGGCTCTGCGATGTCGGGTGTAAAACGTGATAAAGAATCGCTCTCTGCTCTCATGGCCCGGCCCCGGGAGATGTTCCTGATCCCCGCAGCTCCCTCCTGCCGCCGGGGTGCTGCAGGGGTTCGGGCTGTGGGGTGGTTTGTTCTCAAGGGGAACAACTGCGGGCGCCGCTCACTTTCTTTGTTCAGACCAATTTGATTTCGACTGTAGATAGACAGGTTTTCTTGCTTCTAATTTACTGATTTATGATGGCCACGTATAATGTGATGGAGGGGGAGCTATGGCTACAACAGGACTCTAACAGAAGGAGTCAATCAGTAGGTAAAAGCAATGGACAGGGAAAACAAGGGCTGCTTTGGGAAATGGATTTTTCTGGTCTCTCCAAGGCATTAGGAAGTCTAATTCTATGAGTATATACCATTCTGGATGAACACTAAACAGCCTTTGGCCTAAAGAGACAGAAAATTCAAAAACCTCAAAATAACCTTTAAAATAACCTCTGAAACTATACTTCTAGTGCAATGGATCATCAGTTTACAAAGATAATGTCAGAATACCAAGAAAATCTGCCGACTGAGGGTTTAAGGAGTATTACTGCTATTTGTGACATTCAGATAATGTATCTTAAGGGATGATAACATCAGCAAATAATAGTTAATAACATGCAGGTTCAGTCTCCTGGTTCTCTTTCCTTAGATTCAATTTTGAAGATTTCAGCATTCATTTATGTTCATAATGTCTCACTAGAATCTCTATTCAAAATAAACATTGATTCTGTGTATGTCCCACATGGATTTCTGCCAGGTGTAGTAATATGTCAGGGTTTTTCTTCTGCAAGAAAACATTTGCTGTGCCACTGCTCTCCTGTATCTCCATGTGGAGTTGGAGCTCCGGGCACTGACCCAGGAAGTGTCCAGGCCATCGGCCACCGGCCTGCTGATAAGACACTCTCATTAATTTAACAGTGCTGATACACTGGATTGCACCAAGGTCCACCAGGAGTGTGGACCAGCAAAGCTGCCTCATTTGCTGCTGTAGGAAATGGCAGCAGAGTGCCCTGCAGTGCAGCAGAGGTGCAGCCAGAAACCTCAGTGCGGCCCGCCCTGGCCCGCGGTGCTGCTGCCATG